TGCAGGGTCTCCTGCACGTCTTCCCAGCAGGGCACCTCCTGAGGCCCCTGCCCAGGTGGGGCTGCCGTGACCTCCTACTGGAAAAGGACTCATCCTGTGCACCCGCTCTCCGGCCTCACGGGCCCACTCCCCGCCTCGGCTCGGGTGCTGCCCTCCGAGCTTCCCCGTGTCAAGGGCACCTCAGGCCCACTGTTCCCTGCTCCCCTTGCTGCTGTGGATGCGCTGAGGGCAGGAAGGGAGCATTTATGAACAGGCTTACCCAGAACTTCACGAGAAAAAAGGCATTGGAGGGTCCCCGTTCAAAGAGCTCCTTGAGCCCCCCCTTCTTCTCTGGGAATTTGTCATAGATCTGGCGGATGTCCACGGCTTCGAGGTAGGGGTCGCTGTAGCTTGGGCTCGACTGGCCAATGTGCACGAACAGGTGCTTGTTGTACTGCAGAGAGAGTGGCGGTCTGAGGGAGGCCAGGGCACAGCAGCGCAGCCCTGTGACGGCCCAGGGCTCAGAGCCCAGCTCTGCTGCTCACCCACCACCTGCCCTGCAGCAGGAGCTTCACCTCTCCCGGCCTCAGTTTCCCCACTGGTAGGATGGAGACAGTAAACAGCTACTTCTTTGGTTTTATATACAGGGCTTCTGAGTAAGACTCTTTTTGATTAATGGGTTCCTCAGCTAAAAAGTAAGTTTGAAAATGTCAGAGTGAGATGGTTTCTGGCAACCTGTCAGGTGGCCTCCGTGACGCTGGCCACCCAGGAACTGGACACTGAAGGGACAGGCTGGGGGCAGGCTCTGCTCTCTGCTGGTGTCCCATAGGATGTGGCTCAGACGCAGGAGGCTCCACAGCTTCCTGTCTGCCCCTCAGAGCCAGGAAAGGGACGGACCGGTGGGGGGTGGGCTGGGACGCGAGTGGCTTTGGACTAAGAGCTGGCTGGTTAGGAGGGGAGGACGGATACAGGACAGGGAGGGCTTGGAGTGGGAGCCGACACATGCAGGGGAGGAGGGGAGGACAGGTGAGCGGGGAGGGGAGGGAGGACAGGAAAGGGGAGAGAAGGGCCAACAGGACGGGAAGACCAGAAAGGAACAGGGCACCGAAGCTAAGCCCCAAAGTGGAGTGGGCAGGAGGGCAGGGAAGAAAGCCAGAAGCAGGCAGAAAAGAAGCTAGAGGAGCAGCGAGGTTGGGACCTACCGTGTCAGGGTCCTGCTGCTGCTCCAGGAAGGCAGAGAACTCCAACATCCAGAGCTTGGAGCTGGCCACACTGCGGCCCTGCCACGGGGGTGCCGGGGGCACGGAGGGTGATGGGGTGGGTCCTGCAGGAGACTCAAACCCTGCATGCAGTGGAAGAGGCACATGGTCCCTGTTCACAGACACCTCCCTGCCACACCCTCTGTGAGGACCCCAGGCCCCACCGGGGAGACTGCTG